TGTGCAGGAGTGGGTGATGATGGGGACCAATTTGATTATTTCAACAATTTCAGATTTGGTTCTATCACTCTCTGTCTTTTCTTTATACTATATACATATAAATTTTAGGAGTATAGGAAAGTTCTGTAAAATCCAAAAACATTTAATAAAGAAAAAGGACAGGAAAAAATGGTACCTAAACATATACATGTGTTTAATGGGCGTGAAAGTGCATGTCCCGTGAATAAATTTATGCAAATTTTGCAAAACCACCAAGAAAACACATTTAATATATATTGAAAAGGACAATTAAATTGGTTGAGAATTGTGATGAGCAACTCATCCACGATGTGAAGGAACCTAAAAATACTATTATAAAATACTGAAATCACAGTTCATAAAAAATAAAGAAAATGTTAACGAAAAATTATAATAATTGTGATCATATTTATTATATTGTGGGCGCGTTTCCGCAAATACAAAGGATGAGCTTGGCCACGGCCCTAGTACTCTTGTCTTGTTATTGTCTAAACTTTTGGTTAATCGACTAATTAATTATCACTATTTTAAAATGAATCTACAAAAGTACAAACTAATAATGAGACGGAAGTGCACTCAAAAATCTAGTGGGTGTGCCATTAGCTCGGCGATTGACAGAAGGATTAAACTATATAAAATAGTAAAATACTACCGATCTTTGATTATGGGTTTTAGTCTTTTAGAGTTTGTATATGTATAATTGTAAGTCAATATATGCATTAAAAATCTCATTGGATTGAACTGAATAGTCCTTTCTATAGAGTTTTACATGTACCATTTAATCTCTGTAAGTTTTTAAAGATTATTATCCTAAATAATTCTTCATCAGCAACAAACTATGACTGATAGCATGATGAATGAATTTAGTTTTGTTTTTCTTTATTAATTAATGGCCTCTCCCATGCCTAGTATATGGCACTCCTACCCACTTTCTCTTTACGTTATATTCTCCACAACTTCATTACAATGCTTCAACCTCCAATCTTCATCTTCTATTATCCCATCACTTGACATTTTATTACGTTTATGGGTGAAGTTAATTGAAGTAGTTCGAGCCATATTTTTTATTTCAGTGTATCTGAAATCATACATTAACCTAAATATGGAGATATTAATGTCTATATCTCGCAGATTTTTTCATTAAATTAAGGGAGAATTGGTTTTATAATGCCAATTGAATTAGAATTTTTCCCCTTAATGTTTCTATTTTTTGTTATTTTTGACATAGTTGCCCTTTTAAATCAGGTATGACAGTTATAATAAAATATAAATTTGAAACTATATTTTAAAATTTTCGAAAATATCAAAAAAAATTAAAAATATTTTTGTATATCAAGAAAAAAAATATTTTTATAATATTTTTAAAATTTGTTCTACGCTTGTTAGAATGCATGTTCTATGTTCTATGTCCACGTAAAATCCCATTTCTATAGTTCTTCACATATTCTACCAGTCTGTAAAAGTCGTTTTCTATAAATCTTTATATATTTTACCGATTGGTAGATTACAACTTCTACTGAATAGACTATATCCTACATGTTAGTAGAATATATCTTCTACCTGTTAGACAATGTTCTACATTATTGTAGAATGGTTCTTCTACCTGTTAGACTTCATTCTACATTAACGTAGAATGCATCTTCTACCTGTTAGACTTCATTCTACATTAACGTAGAATACATCTTCTACCAAAATCTGATAAAAATTTAGGAAAATTAGTTAACTTCCAGATCTTAAAAATTTTAAAAATCTTTTTTTTTTTTTAATTTTCAACGGTTTTTTATCATTTTTGACGTTTTTTTCTTTTTTTGGCTATCATCGTTCTCTTCTTCTTCTTTCACATTGATCAAGCAGATTTTCCCTAGATTTACATATCATCTGCTTCAAACATACTACATATCTATGTAATTTGTGGTTCATGGAAATCAGGGACATATAAAAAGTGGATTTTTGTGGCTGATGCAGATGGAGATATTGGGGTTTCTCTTTTTTTTTTACGCTTGGTAGAAAATATTTTCTACTTGTTTTTTCTTTTTTTTATTAATAAAACATTTTTAAAAGTAAATTAATTTATTAATTCGTAATTATATGATATAATTGGATTAGATTTAAATTAAACATCAAAGGAACAAATTTTATTTAGAAAACATTAAGGGGACAAATTCTAATTCAATTAGCATTATAAAACCAATTCTCCCATAGAACAATGATGAATTAGAGTTTGTAATCTAAATACTAATCTCTAATTTTAAGCATTGAAAACTTAACTTTGAGTCGTTAAAACTAAATCTTTAAAACCAAATTATAAATTATCAACCTAAAGACATCAACCTACATAAAATATTAACCTTAAAACATCAACCTATATATATATATATAAAATATTATTCTTAAACATCAACCTAAAACCTGAAAGTCCTAAATCTAAACAAACTTTACTCATGTATTTATTTACTTTAAAGATTCAACCTGTTCTTTGAATCTACATTTTCTTATAATATTGTTTTATCAGTAGTCCATATTCTATGAACGGTATACTAATATCGATTTAATCTCCAATCTTGATACACTATACACCGACGCCTCAAAGCGTTTTTTAAAAAACTTTTCTTGCCAACCTCAAATATTTTCCAAACGTCTTTGAAAATCTAGATAATAAAGATTTCTCAAAATATAATATGTATCATTTCTTCTTGGTGACACATATCTGTACGTATCCGTCTGTATGAATGAGAGAGAGGGATTGATACGTAGATTCGGCTCTGTACATGTAACAATGACTAAAAGACATTAAATACACAGGGACACGCATGAATGAGTCCAGAGACATAAAAATAGACCCTTTTTCCTCGTGGTCCACCTATTTATCCCAACATCTAACCAAATTTAAAATAAAAACAATTTATTTTATTTGCCGTACAGTGTTACTTTTATCGGATAATTTTCAGTATTTATTTTCACAATTATTGGTTTGTTTTTTATGATTAAAAAAAGGAAAAAGAAAAGGACAAATCTTGTTCCCACCAAAGCATGAAGAAAGAAAATGCTCTTTTTTCCGTTTCACTAAAATAGAAAAACGAAACAGAGATGTTTTGATGGGTTCCACCAAAACGTGGCATCGGCTGTTTTTTCCCATCATGGCTCCCACACGTCCGGCACGTGTAACCGAATACTTACTCAGGAACTCATATTATTATGATCGAAATATTTTTATCACTCAAATACTCAATAAATCCATTCAAAACGAATGTAAATACCGAGTAATTTATTTATCAAGTTTATATAGATTTTAACATAACGTTACTTTAATTAATTACAAAAGTAAATAAATAATCTTACGCTTGTGAATAATCAATCCTTGATTAATTGATCGGAACTTATAAATCAATTTATCTACCAATATTGAACCACTAATACACTACCACTTAATTGATATTCATAATTAATTAGTATAGCTCATAATTCAAATACGACAAATACGCTATATAGTGCATGTACACTTTATGGAATATTCATATCAAGATTTCAACCAAATGACTGTTCAGCACTGGATCAAAATTTGGATTCGATAACCCACTCTTGTTCTTAAATATTGTTTAGATAAATTTCGCACTTACTCATATATTTCGAATTAATCTTATTATTTGTACGCATGCCAATTGAAGAACAAAAATCATCAAACCAACTAATTCAAAATTATTTGGAATACAAAAAATATAAAAATGGCGGATATGGTCCATGCCTTACGGACTCTACGGAAAACGTATTTATCCCGATGCATATAAGGATTCTTTTTGACTTATTGGCGCAAACGAAAATGAAGATTAGTGACGATACTAGTACGTTAATAATTCATCTAACTCGATAAGTATCCTTTTCTACTTGGTATACTACTTTGGAATACAAAGATATCTAAACCAAGTTTGGTATATACTATTAGTGACAATATTTTGTCATGACTGTAAACCAAAACTATACAATTGACTGAACCAAGAATAAACCAAGTAATCTAAACTAAAACTACATTTACATTCTCCAATTAATGCTAATACTATCCCGTTGAAGGAAAAAAATATCACAATTGAGTGATTGACAAGAAAATATAAACGATTAAAAAAAGAAAACAAATATTACACGGTGAAATCTTTTCGGTAACCGCATGACGTGGTAAGCCTGGAGAGGAAATAACACGTGTAGCATATGTGACGTGCCAGCCTCCGATTTTTCTGTGTCTGCTACATTCAACGAGTGCATTGAAGGAAACAAAGCTAAATTTACCTAAATAGCCCTAAAGATTCTGAAATGATGGACACTGACGAATCATATATTTTATTTATTTTAATTATTTTTTAATAAATATCATTCCTATCTTTCGTTTTTATTTTTATTTTTGACAACTTACCTATTTTTCGTTTAGTCAAAAGAAAACTGAAATATGTGTTTCAAATTTTCATTCAACTATTTTAGTTAAATGATTCCTAAATTTCGTGTAGTCAAAACAAAACTGATAAGAAATCTTAAATTAGGTAGATTTTATTTCCTTTTGTTATGCTCTAGAAGATAACAAGATTAGAAATAGCATTTATGCAAAAATACTTCACACGGGAACATATAACAGGTTCCAAGGAAAGGTGACAAAAAAGAAAAACGGATTTCATGGAAAATAGGTTAGCACTTTCTTTGTTTGGAACGTTATAAACAAATTTTTTTATAGAATAGTATAAAATATTTATACGATAACACTACAAGTTAAGTCAATAAAAAAAAATTAGCTATATACGTCACATGTGCTGGTGTTTGTTAAGATACGTATTTGGGGTTATACTATTCAAAAATAAATGTAAAAACTGGAATAAGATAATATTTCTCTTTCTAGAAATAAAAAAAAATAAAGAAATGATATCAACAACATATTTCTTTTTTAAATATTTTGACTTTTTCTCTGTCTTCCTTAAATAAAAGCCACCCTCCTTGGTTTTCTTCACCAGTCGCCACAACCTCTCTCTCTCCTTCCTCTGTAAACTCTCTCTAACCTTCAGAAAACGTATCAATGGCTATTGAAGCAAGTCATTTGAATCTATTCGCTTCTCAATTTGTTAACAACAGGTTAGTTTTCATTTTCTCCTCTCGATCCATTTTCGATTTTCCAAACTTCCATTTCGTAGTTTATTGATTTTTTTGTTTTCTCTCTGTTTATCTTCAGAGAATGCGTTAAATCTCAACCCAACATGAACAACGAAATCGCCGGCGATTTTCCGGTAACATTCGATGATCGGCAGTTACCGTATATACAGTCTCGCGCCATAGATCCGATTCAAATCGCAGCAAGTTTCAACAAATCAGAAAGCGGTCTCACGTATAATTTTAACCAATCTCCAGCGATACCCAAACGTCAGAGAGATTCAACGTTTGACTCCGACGCTCTAATGGCAGCTCAGAAACGGAGATTAATCGCGTTTGAAACGTCGGCGTCTGCGTCTCTAATCGACGCGGAACTCGTTTCTCAGATCCAACAACAACAATCAGAAATCGACCGATTCGTCGCTTACCAAACGGAAACGCTCAGATTAGAATTAGAAGCGAGGCAGCGAACGCAAACGCGGATGTTAGCGTCAGCGGTTCAATCGGCGATTGTGAAAAAGCTTAAAGCGAAAGACGACGAGATTGTACGGATGGGGAAGCTGAATTGGGTTTTACAAGAGCGAGTGAAGAATCTCTACGTCGAGAATCAGATCTGGCGGGATCTCGCTCAAAGCAATGAAGCTACAGCTAACAATCTCCGATCAAATCTCGAGCAACTTTTAGCTCAGGTCGATGATTTCTCTGCAACGGCGACCGTTCGTCCTCCGGTAGAAGACGATGCGGAATCTAGCTGCGGAAGCTGCGACGGAGCCGACGGCGATGATGTTACGGCGGTGACCGGAGGATGTAGACGGTGCGGTGAAAGAACGGCGAGTGTGTTGGTGTTGCCTTGCCGCCATTTGTGTTTGTGTACGGTTTGTGGATCGGCTCTGTTACAGGCGTGCCCTGTTTGTGATATGGTCATGAATGCTAGTGTACATGTTAACATGTCATGACCATAATTTTTTTTAATTTAAGTTAAATTTTTTTTCCGTTTTTTTTGTTATAATTTTCTTTTTTTTTTAGTGAAGGGATAAATAGCAAACTAGGGGACAAAAAAGAAGGAGAAGTATATGACTCTCCTTTTTTTATAACCTTTGATTATGGAATTGATTCATTTTTTGTAGTTTTGTAAAATCTTATTAACTACAATTTGTTTTTCTTCATTCGCACGGAAGTATATAGATATACAATTTGTTTTAAATCAATGCGACACTTTGGCCTCATCTTTTGTAATCGTCAAAAATTAAAATATGTTAGGATTACCGATTACGGGTTACATGGTCCAAAAAAGTTTAATTAAGTTATACTTCATCAAATTAAAAAAAAAAGTTTAAGTAAGTTATGCTTCATGTTCTTACGGTTTAACCAATTAAGTCATGCTTCCTGTTCTTATTGCGACAATATTTTCACAGAACGATATAATGCTTGTGATTCGAGACATTGTGTAGAAGAATTTTGGAAATTTCAATTTGAAATCAATACCCTCTTTAGTCTTTATGTAATTCTTAACTTAACTTCGCACTCTGTTGCATGTGATTATAATTTTAAATAAATATCATTTTATGAACTTCTTCTGAGTTATGTCATGTTATTATAGTGTTATTTATGAGTGTTACAATAGATTATTTTGTAATTCACCTCACATTAGCTTAAAATATATAAATTATAAAAATAAATTCATGAACTTTCTCTAAATTATATCATATTATTTATATAGTGTTATTTTTGAGTGTCAAAATAAACTATTAGTCTATTCTGGTATTTCATCTCACATTGGCTTCAAATATTTTATAAGCTTTGATGGAACAAAACCAATTGCATATCATGAAAGAATAAGGACATAAAGAAGAGATATTATCTTGTCATTAACCTCCCAGCAAAGAGAACATGATTGGACTATCTCCATTACCTCATGAGATCTCATATAGATAATTATCTGAATTGCAAGCCACATGACAAAAGTATATCTCGGCATCACTTGTGAATTGTGATAACCAACCAAGTCGATGCCACCAAATGCTTCGGCTTCGACACGCATTTTTTTCCATGTTTATTTGAAGAGGCCTTTAAAATCATTATTGACCATATCAGAAATCGGAAATTTGGAGAATAACAATATATTTAGTTAGGATCATATTTTTGAGAATGATGATAATTAGTTAAGTGTATTTATGGTTAGAAAATAGAAACACACAAAAGTTATATATGTACATTAAAGAGGAAAATGAAACTCTTACTCCCATATACAGTAGAACCTCTATAAATTAATATTCGATAAATTAGTAATTACTATAAATTAATAAATTTTCTTGGTCTCGAATCGGAACAGTGTAAAAGTTCATCAAATTCGATAAGATAATAAGATAATAATATTTATAAAATTTCTATATTAAAATATGGTCCCAACATAAACATAAATTAATAATAACATAAATTTATGTATATGTATAAGTAATATATAATATACTAAAATATGATTAATGTGTTATTTGTTTTTATTTATGTTTGAGTTTTTATTGAAAAATAAAAATCATCTCTTTACTTTTTTACATCAATAACTTTTAATGTTATTTTTTTTATCTCCATTCAAATTTTTTTTAAAAAATAAATGTGATACTTAATTTTCTTACGCATAACTGTTTTGAATTATATTAGGTATGGTCTTCAATTTCAGCATCAACATTAAAGATAGTAGCCATAATGTTTTATAAATCTTGTATTAATGAATATTTATATTAATTATTACATAAATAATTTAGTCCATAATTAACAAATAGAATAACTATTCTATTGCGATTGTTATGATTAGTAATCATAATTTTAAATTTGTGCATATCATTTTATAAGCATAAGAGTTTAGATTCTTAAATATAACATCATTTGAAAGAAATTTAAAAAGAAAATGAGAGAAAAACAATTTTCTTCTATAAATTAATAATATCACGATAAATTAATAAAATATTTTGATCTTGATATTATTAATTTATAGAGGTTTTTAGTTAAATCACGATGCAATTTTATTGGTTTGGTTTATACCTTAGCCCTTACGTCTATTCTAGATAGCGTTGGTTAAACTTGAAAGCACGTCCAATCTTTGTGAGATATAGATAATCTGTTAACATTATAATGGTCATAATGACCGCATTGTTATTGTTATTAATAATATTATTAATAAGATATATTTTTTGTTATTTCCTGGAAACTTCGGTGGAAGCCAAAAATGGAAGTTGCAAAAGACGACATAATAATTGAATGGGGAAAGAAATTTTGAAGAATCTCTCCAAAACATGTGAGGTGGTCCTTGGCCTTTTACTTCTTCTCTGGCCAAGCAATTAAATATAACACAAAAGGTAAATTTGTCTAATGACCAGTGGCTAATAGCTACATATAGAAAAAAATAGAGAGGAAATACTCATTATAGTAGCTTTCATTTGCACTATGTTAAGAAAAAAAAAATGTAACTTTCATTTGCACGTTAGATGGAATTGCTTTCGTCACATAATTCCAAACTATATCAGTTACATGACATATAATACATTGAGTAGAATAGAACTACTATATTGATTAATATGTGAGATGAACGAGCATGAAGAACACCATAGAATAGAACTGTTATATTGAATAAGTAACATGAATTTAATAGCCCTTCAAAAAAAGAATACTACAAACTTAATGTATCCATTAATTGAGGAAAACAACAGTTGTGGATTTACAATCAGTTTGTGACAGATGAAATATGAAAACAACATTTTTCTGGCGCGACGCATCACCTATGTTTAATGAAATCGACAATGGAGGTGAGAAAATCGTAAAGTATCACTTACTTATGTATTCATAAATAAACTTTCTACGTATAAATATATAATTGAATTAATTAGTACACTATTTCAATTTAAATATAGAATTACTACATCAATATATAGAATAGATCGAATGTGATTGCATTGTACACAGAACACCAGCTAGAATTTTTACTGATCACCACATATATTGTAACATCCCGGTTCTGGGTTCCATAAGAAACCAGATTAAACCGATAGTATTATCTAACATAACCAATAAATCCTGAATAATCCTTAATTCTTATTCCTAATTAAACCAAATTCAGTCTTACACTAGAAATAAATAACCTGAATAAATCCGAAAATAAGCAGAAACCAATGTCTTAAAAGGAAATACGAAAAAGTAGTTCTGAAAGCAATAAAAATCTTCCTCCATCTCTGAAGGCACACCACACTAGAGCTACTCGTCTAGTTCCTCCCAGACATCAACACACTCACATTCATCACACTCACCTGCAATATGGATTTAAAAGAGAGGGGTGAGTAATTTGGGGAAATTACTCAGTGAGAACCAAACCAGGCTCCCTTCCCACTCATTCATTTTCCACCAACATGTCAAGAATAAATCCAACAAGCAACACACAAGCATCCTAGCGATGCACATACAACTAGCAAGCAATGGTGTCTCCAACCCGCCTATCACACAAGGCCACACCTCCTAGTCACACAGACTAGGACATCATCTCCCATGTCACACAGACATAATACCAGGCAGTCACACAGACACAACTCCAGCCATACAGGCTCCGGAAGGATCGGCGTACCTTCCGCTCACCGTTGAACTATCGCTATAGTCACACAGACAGCAATAGCCCAGCAAACATGTCCATACCTCGGCACACCATCACCAAGATGAACACCTGATCTAGCTACTCTACCAATAACTAACCACACATCAGGGTGAACAATCAAACATGCTGGTTTTTCCTCTAATGAGACCCTAGATCTTTTCATGAGACTCACACATGGATCTAGCTAGATGCACAAGGAAACATCCTAGGCTCATCAGATCTAGACTCCACACACCAGAAGAAGACAAAAGAATAAAAAGAAAAGCCTAGATCTAATCCTCACCTTGGCCTAAAAGAAGATCTGACTTAAGGAGAACTGGTAGCAAAGGAATCAAGGAGTTTCTGCGTAGGAGGAGGCTGACGACCACTCATTCTCCTCTTAGACGGCGGCGGCGGCTTCTCTTCTCTCCCTCAGCGGCAGCGAGCTCCTCTCTCTCTCTCTCTTCCTTTTTGCTTTGGTGGCTAGGGTTAAAAGAATGAGAATGAGGCTCCTTCTCATTTAATTCTCCACTTAAATATGGGGGCAAATTAGGGTTGCTGGAGCGGGCCTGGTATTGTTGGGCTTTTCCCAATTGGGCCTGAATTGGGATGTTACAACTCTCCCCAACTTCCAAGGAATTCGTCCCCGAATTCTCTCCAACACCTCCGGTTTGGCCCTTGTCCTGGAAGAGCTCCGGGTAACCCTTCCGCATATCCTGTTCCAACTCCCAGGTTTTCTCGCGGATGCCATCCCTCTCCCAACAAACCTTAACTGACTGCTTCCTCTTACCATTGACCTCCATTTCCCGAAATTCCAACACTGCCACCGGCTGATATACTGCTGAGAAATTCTTCCTCACATCCAATGGCGGCTGAGGCAAAATGAGCTCTGGCTCTCTCACAACTTTCCTCAAAAGCGAAATATGAAACACATCATGGAACTCAGCTAACTCCTTGGGCAACTCTAAGCGGTAAGCCACTTCTCCAATTCTTTCGACAATAGGGTACGGTCCCATGTACCTTGGCTTAAGCTTCTTCAATTTCCTATGCCCATCATTTCCTCTAAAGGTTCTCAACTTCAAATAGACCATATCACCAACCTCAAAAGATAATTCCTGCCTTCGCTGATCAGCATAGCTTTTCTGACGATCATGGGCTTCTTTTAGCCTGATCTTAAGCATTTCCACTTGCTCAGATGCTTCCCTCAGCAATTCTGGTTCTAACTCTCTCATCTCTTCTACTTCTGTCCAACAGAGGGGTGTACGACATGGTCTCCCGTAAAGAGCTTCGTACGGAGCCATTCCAATACTGACATGATAACTGTTGTTGTAAGCAAACTCTGCTAGAGGAAGATGCTTTTCCCAGCTTCCTTCCCAATCCAGGACAAAAGCCCTTAGCAGGTCCTCCAAGGTCCTAATCGTCCTTTCCAATTGGCCGTCCGTTTGAGGGTGATAGGCTGTGCTCAAATGAACCCTTGTTCCCAATGCCTTCTGAAATGCTTGCCAAAAACTAGCTGTGAACTTCGGATCTCGATCGGACACAATGCTCACTGGAACTCCATGTAACCTCACAATCACATCAATATACTTTTGC